CGTCTGCAGGAGAGACACTATGCCCCCCCCCCCCCCCCCACCATCGAAAGGTTCTTCATGACTCCCGGGGGCCCCCGGGGAACCTGGGGGCCCTATACACTGTGGGGGGCCCCTTCGAAAGCAGGTGGCCCCCTCCTGGGCGAAATCCTGGGTACGTGCCTGATGAAATGTTTATATCACACCATATTTTCATTCCTTAAGATCTGTAACTTCGACACCGTTAAGTCTCTCATGTCGTTTTTTCTGGAATGATTTGTTATCCAATAGTTATAGTTCACTTAACGATCAACGAATTCATTGGGTCGAATCATCAATCAGGTCAAATGTAGTTCCCAGTGGAATATCATGCCTAGCCCTGACCGGCACATGGTACCGATGCATCCCCTGCATCTAAAGTCGTTTCGCCTATCAGGTCAGGCCACCGAGCTGTGACAAGATATGTCAGACGTCATTCAACTGAAATCGGATGTTTTTGTGATATGGGCGAGGTTTCTGCCTCCTAGCGTATGTTTTGTTATTTGCAACTGCAAGCGAGGACATTGACAGAATTGGCAAGCCAAACGTGTTGGTGTATTTTTCTACTTTTCTTTTTGCTCTGCAACTATTTTTTGGAAGCGATTTGTCAAAAATCAAACCCATTTTTTAGAAACAATACCTGGATGGTCCACGATTTGGCTTTGGCCTTAGAATCGGGTACCATTGGCTTCCTCTTGTGGAAAGCAATCTGTTCGTCATCTCGCAAAACGTGTCATATCTAAATTAGGGTCCAAACGCGGCGGTCGCTGGTACACGAATGCTAACCTGACCTGCCGAATGTTGACGTAAGTATGATAGAGCTCGCTTTGATTGAACGACTGAGGCTGCTGTTTTCCATCAATTTCTCTGTTTCTATTATCAGGAAAAATGTCAACCCCCCTTCTATGTAGACATCCATATAGGTAGGTATTTGATGTAAAAATTTCAAATGAGATGGTGTTAAGCCCCAATAGTGAAATTGAATAGGTAGCTCTTTTATGCGTTTTGTACCCGTGAATGAAGGTGCCAGCAGCCCACCCTTCGGCATCATTTGCTTTCTCAGCGACGCTGGCTGTTGAAGAGAAGAGAAAGGTCTGCAGCGCCCTGCTCCGAATGGGGCCCATTAGAATGGACATTAGCCGGCCGCGCGTTCCCGCGCCGTCTCGGTCGCCCCCCGGCCGGAGCCATGTGACCTGGAGTCCGGCGCCGACGGCGGGGAAAGGGCAGTGCGCCGCCGGTCACCTGCAACGGTCGCCGACCGAGCTGGGACGGGGATACCCGGGGAACCGAGCCGGGGCGGGTTAGTACTCGCAGCGGTGGACGATAGCCGAGTCAGGACAGCGGTCGGGCACATACTCGCAGAAAGACCACTAACCGAACGGGGATACCCACAGTCGACTGCAGCGGCCGCTAATCGAGCGGAGGTATACTGCACAACTATAGTGGCTACTGACCCCAAACGTGGCCTGATACTGATCTCATGACGTATGATATGAGCCAATATTCTTTTTACCAATTAAATTTTAGACAATGTACAAACAAAATTCTATGCTAATTTTTACGCCGATAATCTAACGGGTCCTTTTGGATGTCCAAAGTGTCAATGACGGGATGAGTATGCGTGACAGCCCATCAGAAGGTTCGGGACGACTCGCACGGACTGATGATCCTCATGATGTGTCCGTCTCCTCTCACTCGACAGGGCGGTATTTCGCAGTCACCAGCTGCTACTGACGGTTTTCCCGTGCCGTGTCCATGGGGGAGACGGGATGATTCACTTGTGTGTTGTTAGCACGGACAGAAAGATGAAGAACATGCAGATAGTGTGCGCGAAGTGTTCGGCAGACGTAGCTTTCAAGACCTACTAGTTTTTGTAAAGAGAAGATGTGTTTTTCGTGTGGTGTGAATTGATACATCCATGCGTCATACACATAAAAAACAGCTCAGCACTGCTCATGTTTATTTCACATCCCTTAGCATGAAAACTGCTATCAGATATAAATAAGTTAGTCGTCACTTATGTCGACAATACGAGCTCGATAAGCGTTCATCACAAGATCCTATATTGAGTATTTAGCGCAGAGTATTGATCATAAATATGAAAATAAATAATGAAGACAGAGCGAGAGAAGAGCGCATAACACACAGTCATATGTACATTATTTCACTAGTGCTCGTCGTTGACTATCAGCCCCACCCCTCCCCTCTCTCTTCTTTCCCCATCCTCACACCCCGGTCCATCTGACACACACACAGTCTTACAAGCGTTCACCCCGCGCGCGCACTGTTGGGCTACGATGGCCCACTGTCGACCATTCGTCGACCCCGGGCACGGCGCTTAGTTGCGCTCGCCGCCGTAGTTGTAGCGGAAGCTGACGCCGCTGCTTCCGCCCAGTGAGAAGCTGCTGTAGCTTCCAGAGCTGGCCGACGACGGCCGAGACTTGGCCTGACGGCTGGCGCTTGAAGACCGCGACGGGAACGCCGTAAAAGGCGATCCGCTGGCGGCGGGCGCCGGCGAAGGCGCGTACTGGGGCTCAGGGGCATACTGGGGCTGAGGAGCATACTGGGGCTCAGGGGCATACTGGGGCTGAGGGGCGTATTGAGGCTCCGGGGCATACTGGGGCTCAGGAGCGTACTGAGGCTCAGGAGCATACTGAGGAGGCTGAGGAGCATATTGGGGCTCGGGAGCATACTGGGGCGGCTGAGGGGCATACTGGGGCTCGGGGACGTACTGGGGCTGAGGGGCATATTGGGGCTGAGGGGCGTATTGAGGCTCCGGGGCATACTGGGGCTGAGGGGCGTACTGGGGCTCAGGAGCGTACTGGGGCTGGTAGCGGGTCACAGGCCGGGGAGCAGGCGCAGCGGGGGCAGAGTAGGGCCGGCCCAGACCACCAACAATAGCCGGTCCGCGGCCTCCACGCTGTAACACGGAAAGATTGGCTTATAGAAGACGGAAGACGATACAACATCAGAGTGGATAGACGGTACAAGAGACGGAGTGGCCATGGTTGCATGAACACGAGAGACTTCAGTTGGGACGGGTAAATTTTGCAGCTAAATTGGACGGGCGTATGTTCAGTTGCCAGATGTTTGCTGTTTTAGAAGTAAGCAAAATATATATGTGCCGAGAGCACATTTCAAGGTAGGTTATGTATTCACAAGCATTCTTTTTGCAACTGAATTGCCTGAAGGCAAAGAAAGCGTTCATTTTTTCATTTTGTCATTAATTTACTCCTAGATCTGTCCTGGTCAGAAAGTTCGCCGTTCATGTAAACATGTCCACTCTTGGTAAGGAAGAAACGTTCTGTCAACCATCACAGAACTGTGCAAACTGCAAAGATGTTAGAAGTCAATCGGATAATGAATATCAGAAGAGAGATAGTTGCACATAAGAAACACAATACAGGGAAGGGCAGTGTGGGCTAATTTGCTGGATAATTATCAGCGAACAATCCCAGCATTTGGATGGCTGAACGGTTTTTGATAGGACGTGAGAACACGAGTATTTACACATACGACACGCCTAAAAGAGGACAGCGACAACAAGAGTATTATGCTATCGAACATCATATCCGCAAAGATATGTATCTAGTAAAAGCATGCAGTCTCAGTGAAAGAGAGATGAACAAGCTCAGCACCGAAGCACTGAGATGATGGATAGTTTTCGGAAAAAAAATATTATCTCGGGAGTAACTTTAACGATTTTGGTCAAGTGTGACCTTTGAGCTCAAGTGTGGTTATTACGCAGCTAATATGAATAAATCCCAGCGTCCACTCAGAAGCAATTGAGCTAATTTCGCTTGCTCAATCGTGCAGATGGTGTTCGTCGCCGGCGGAGTCGCTGGCCGTCTGGGGCCGGCCGGACACCCCGGTCGGACGGAGGGGCGCGGAGGGCCACCGCCGCCGCCGCCGCCGCGCCCTAGATGTAGGTCGGGCCGCTCATGGCCGGCCGGTTGACCTCTGTCCTGGGCCCGGCCCGGTCGACCACAAGGTCATGTTCGCCCTCCCGCAGAGGCAGCGAGGCGCCGGCCAGGTGACGTAAGGTATGCGCCGCCGGGCCGACACGCCCTCACGGCCACTGGCCGAGCACACACGCATACAAAACCTCCCTCCTATCCTAGCCGGCCTCCATCACTATTATCTTTCCCTTCCTCCTTCTCTAGGTATACCTCTCTCTTCCCTATCTCTCCTTCTCTCTCTCCCACTCCCTCCCTCCCTCCCTCCCTCCCTCCGTCTGACCCTCTCTACCTCTCTTTCTTTCTCATCCCTCCATCCCTCCCTGCCCCCTCTCTCTCTCTCTCTCTCTCTCTCTCTCTCCCTCTCCCTCCGTCTGACCCCTCTCTACTTCTCTTTCTTTCTTCCCCTCCCTCCAGCCCTCCCTGCGCCCTCTCTCGCTCTCTGGCTCCGGTGGTGGCCACGGGACTCAGTGATTCAATGGGTGTCGATAGGAGTGGCCGTTTTTAGGGCCGTTCGGGCCGCAGGCGTGTCGTGACCTCTGACGAAACTGGACCGCTGCCGCCGCTCCAAGGACCCCCCTGAGTGGCGGCTCTCTGCTCAGAATCACCGCCGACAATAGCCACCCGATGAGTGCACGTGCGAGAGCCCCTCCCCGTGTGGATGTCAAGGTCAAAAGGCGCCACTCGGCCCACCCGACAAATTAACACGAGATTGATTACTCGTGTGGCAATGTCGGCCCATGCCCGGGAAAATATGGGTCGTTGACCTGATTTTGTGGATCATCTGTTTTGAGACCACGAAGAACGTAGAGAGATAATGAATGGGTTTGCATTCCATGAAATAAATGAATGTAACGGGTAGGGCCTGACATCAGATATCGTTGAATATTCATAAAAGCCTACATATGATGTATGAGTGCTCCTGCGGCGATGTTTTTTGCTGACAATCCTAACAAAATATGAAGTTCACGTTAACCTACATTAGCAGGCCTGCTCCGGGGATGGCACCCCTCGGGAGCCCGTGCTCACCTGGGGCTGCACTCCGAGCATCTTGAGGCTGGGCGGCACGTTGAGGCCGCGCCGGTCGATGGACAGGTGGCCGAAGTCGGCCGAGTACTGGCGGCACCAGATGCTCAGGTAGTCGATGTCAAACACCGTCTTGTCGCCGGGCAGGGTGAGCACCACCGTCTTGCGCTTGTAGCTCTTGAGCGGCTGCTGGCTGCCGTTCTCGTCCGGCACGATGAAGCCCGTGTTGGACGGGTTGCCCGTGCCCGCCCAGAAGTGCGCGTCTGAGAACAACGTTTGGGTGTCACGGGACCAGCGAATGGTAAAAAGACATGCCGCCGAAAATGCCTACATGAAAAGCTGCCAACACAGCCGACATCGTCGCGTTCATGCAATCACTCAATAGCACAAGGCCGTTGCTACGGAGTCACGTCACAACTGGAGCAGTCTCCCAACTATTGCAGCTCGGCCGAAATGTGCCAAGGCCCTGCGCTGCCAGCCGTCTGGCTTCCCACGGCGCCTGTGTCGGCGGCCGCTCTACATTCAGATCAGTGACTGCGGCTCTGTCGATGGTTATCTAGCGTCACGCCACCCGTACGTTACCGGTAAATCATCGTCCACGCGGGCCGGTCCGGTGTGTCGCGGCGTCGGCAGGTCGCCGGATCTGCTCCAGATCGGGCCCCGATCTAGATCGCAGTGCGTGCTACAGTTGAAGGTGTCCGTCGGTCGTGTTACCACTGGTGCGTCGGTCTGAAGGGCGCCGAGGAGCACCCCCGTCGGCGGCGGCGCCCGCCCAGACGTCGTGCGGGTCCGCCGCTCCCGGCGTGACAGCCGAGCCGACACCGGTCGGGGTCGTGGGGTCAGCCACAGTGTGCATGCGTGTGAAGAGATGAGAAATGTGAAGGGGTGAGATTGTCAGTTCAACAGAGTCTGTAATCAGAGTAGTCAGATTCAGCCATTCAGAAGAAAGTTGTTGAGTTCAGGGTAGGTGAGTAAGGAAAATACAGTAGATTATATAAAATAAATGTATTCAAGAGAAGGTACAGAGATGTAGAACAAGAAGAGCGTCTCACAGCAGTGGCATGCCGTCACCCAAACCAGCGCTGCAGTCTCTGTATCCGCCCCGCACCGTAAAACATGGCGCCTTCGCTAACAGGCTGTATGGCACCACGCTGTCACCGCTGTCCATGTGAGCCGTCGGCGCCGACAGTCGACGAGTGCGGCCGACGGCTGAGATCGCGGCACGACCGGCTGGCGAGCGGTCCCCTGTCACGGCGCGGCCCGCCCCGGCCTTATGACACGCCGCTGCGCCGGGACAGGGCGCGTCGGCCGGCGCAGGTTACGACGCCACGTCAGAAACCTCGCCGCCTGGCGGCCCTTCTGCGAGCGGCCGTGGCGACCGGCCCACTCACCTGGGCCTTCCCCGTCATACGTGAAGTCCGGCACGAGCAGCGTCTGCGCGTCGACGGCGACCACGTCCGCGGAGGCCACGCCGTGCTCGCGCGTCACCATCCTGCCGAGCTTCTGCGGCCGCGGGTAGTCGGTGACCGGTCGCGGGAGGATGATGTTACCGAAATCCACCTGCGGAGGGGGTGGGTGCCGTCAGCGGAGGGGGTGGGATCAGTCATTAGGTAAGACGCTTCTGCCGCTGGGTCGGGCGGGGTCAGTTATTTTATCGGGCGAGGTCAGTCCATCGGGTCGGGTGCGGTCACGGTTAACGTGTCTAGCAGGGTCACCTTCGCAGTGACCAAAGAAGGACCTAAACTACGAGCACACCAAACTCGAACGGCGATGCCAGACGCATAAACAACTTCAGGACTACCTTGGACGAGATAACGTCCCTCCTCTCATGGAGATCCTGTCATCCCTGTGGCCTTGTCCCAGTTGTGAGAAGACGCGCGGGCCAGTGTCAGCGGTGGACAGCGAGCTCTCGCAGCGACCTGACCCAGACCCCTGACTGTGTCAGCGGTAACACTTGAGCCACGCCGCTGGCGGTTGTCACACTATCAGATGACCCGGGCTTCTGTCAACCTCTTCAGGACGGTATAACTGCGCTCCTGTCACCGTTTAGGTGTTGACTTACTGAGATCCAACGTTGGTCCATAGGTCAAGGCTAAAATTTTTGTAAAATGCTGTATGTAACGCAGATGCGTTACATTTTTTTTTTATCTTTCATGCTGAACTGCAAGCTGTGCCACAAGCTGAAACACGGCCATCTGCGAGCGCCGCACAGACACGGTCAGCCGGCTAAATCGGCTGTGATACCCTCTCTCCGTCCCAGCTGGCGTCCACACAGACGGCGCAGTCGGCTCTGACAAACAGGGGTCCTCTATAGATGACCACCCCACTTCATGAGAACCCGGATCTGAAGCCAACAAATAGCATACCGAAACGCACTATCCTGCCGGTGTCGAGCCATTAATCAGTTTAGCCGTTGGAAAACAAGACTCTGTCCCACGCTCGGCACCCCGCCAGAAGAGAAGAACAAGGAGAGGGGAGTGCAGACCGGCCCTGATTTGAACCAAAACAAGAAAGGGGAGCGGGGACCGACCCGGTTTGTACGAAAACAGGATGAAATGGAACTCGGTCACCGCCATGGAAGAAGGACACCTGGCCGGAGACATTCAAAACAGGGGGGAGCGCAGGACTAAAAACAAGAAAGGAGGGCGCAGAGCCGGCCGCCACCTGGAGCCTCAGGCGGCGCAAATCGCCGGCGGCGAGTTCCATCCGATCGCTGCGTGAAAGGGTGCGACTGCCATGGCCGGGGGTGCCGAACTTCAGCCAATCACGAACGTTTGAAGGCGGAGCCAAACGCACTTTCTGAGAATGGAGGACGAAGATTGGACAAGGAGATGCTGCCCAGCCCTCTGAAGTATGACGTCATCAAAAGTATAAGTTGATGAAACGGAACTGGAACACTCTCTCGGGGACTCTCTCGGACGACGCATCCCGCGCCGGTGGCACTCTCTCGGCCCACGTCTCTCGTCTGACATCGCGGACAGCCCACGAGACACCAGCGGCTGGCATCACGGCGCCGGCGGCGGCTCTGGCCGCCGGGCCGGGCGCTGGACGGACACGACCATCACGTCAGCGACTCCATCTCAAGTAAGGTCACGCGGTGAACACGGGCGCGCACCTAGTCTCTAAATCCTTCAAGTAACCCCCCCCCCCCTCGTTACTGCTATGTGAGCCACATTGTATTCCCTTTTTGGTGTCGTCCGCAATATTTTAGGCCATTCAGCTTAGGTAGTTAAATTTATTCTTTGGACTTTCAGTCTAGGTAGCTTAATTTCACAAGTCGATTTCGATCAATTATGTAACTGTGCGCGTAGTGCGACACGCGTGCCGACGTGGGCCCTCTTCAGTCGTCTGGCGCCCCGTTGTGATTTAAGCGGACGGAGGGGATTATGCACCGTGGGGAGTCGGGAAAGGGACGGGCGACTGTGTACCGCACCGCGCGGCTTGTGGGGCTCAGTTGATGGGCGGCCTGGGCCCAGAATGTTTCCTTTAAATTTGACTTGTAAGGGAATTTAAGGTGTTGCGTCGGAGTATGTAAATAAATGGGACTTGTAAATATTGAAATACGAGTGTGAGTAGTGCTGAAGGGCAGGGATCGGAGGATGGAGCAAAACAGGCCATATGCTAACCCACAGTCAGGAAAGAGGTCGTTTCCAAAGTGTCTGGCCAGAGTAATTTACAACGATCAGTTCTCTTTATCTGTTGATTTTACACAGTGCACAAAGCGATTATACACAACACATGCAGGGCCGATCAGTTCTCTTTATCTGTTGATTTTACACAGTGCACAAAGCGATTATAAATAACACATGCAGGGCCTCCCTAGCCTAACCGATACTGGAGCTTCTCCGGTTGACTCCTAAAGTGCCCTTGCCAGTGGATTTCCTGGCACTCCATCCTCCCCAAATTATCCCACGGTCCAAACAATAGCGATTACACACAATACACACAGGACCTCCCTAACCTAACCGATACTGGAGCTTCTCCGGTTGACTCCTAAGTGCCCTTGCCAGTGGATTTCCTGGCACTCCATCCTCCCCAAATTATCCCACGGTCCAAACAATAGCGATTACACACAACACATACAGGACCTCCCTAGCCCAACCGATACTGGAGCTTCTCCGGTTGACTCCCAAGTGCCCTTGCCAGCGGATTTCCTGGCACTCCACTAATCAATTTACCAACGCCCCGCATACAAGCAACACGCTTAGACCCTGTTGCACACGAAATATATGTAATTGTATTCTACATGGACACTGCAATGCGGAACCGGGGAGATAGATGATGCACGTCACGCCCCTGTGCGTGGAAAGTCCACCGACGCGGCTACGGGTTAGGAGGGAGATGAGAAGCGAGTGAATTGGAAGAAGACTGTACACGTAGAGGAATCGGATTTCCTGAATGAAGCTCAGCTCGGATAGACCCCACTTAAATAGTAGGCCTCGCTTGAGTAAGCCCTGGATACGTGCAATAAGTCGCGAAGTGAAGAGAAAGGATGAGAGCGAGTTGAGGATCGATTATTGAGGATGAGTGCATAGCCGACGAAGGCTAATCCGTTCGGTTGCCGGCGCGGGCCCCATAAAGCCGTGGCTATACGGAGACGATGCAGGCAGCCCGGAGGGACCTAGTGACCCCGCCCGGTTTTAAAAGATAGGTTAGGTCCGCTATCGGTCCATTGAGTGATCAGCGCAGGATGACATTCGATAAGCGACGTAGGTAGTTTCGGAGATGGTTAGGACCCCAGGCGTCCCAGCGAGGAGACGTATGCCGCCGGTTAAGTAATGTCCCGCGAAGAAACGTGTGATGCTGCAGGACGGGGGTGAACATTAAATACCAAAGCATGCGAGTCGGGTGATCGCGGTAAGTCGGTACTGGCCACCCCGCTGTCAGTCGATTAACTCCGGCCGTGCAGCGGTCATTTCGGATAGGTCTGTGACGACAGCTTAACTACCAGCAACAGATAGATAGGGCTTCGGGCACCTATAACGCTGGTAGTCGTGGATTTGTGTGAAGCCAACGGAGGCTAACCCGTTCGGTCGCCGGTGCTGTTTCAAAAGCCGTGGCTATACGGAGACGATGCAGGCAGCCCGGACATACCTAGTTACCCAGCCCGGTTTCAAAGTTTAGATAAGCCCACCGCGGGCCGTGGTACGCTTAGTTTTCGTTTTCTTATAGGCAATTTGGCATAACTGGTAGTCATGGATTCGTGTAAAGCCGACGAACGACTAATCCCTTTCGGTCGCCGGGGGCTGGCCCGAAAACCGCGGCTATACGGAGACGACGCAGGCAGCCCGGACGGACCTTAGTTACCCAGCCCCGGTCTCAAATTTCAAATAAGTCCCCCGCGGAAACCGGACTACACAGTGTCCTGCGAGCCGTAGTCTCGGAACCGCTGACCGAAGGACATTTATGTTTTTTTGTGTAGGTAGTTCGACATGGTGATGGGATGGACCGCAATAAGTCACGTAACGCGAGGGTCGAGTGCCGAAATCTGTGGTGGGTCGTATCTCTAATTGTGTAGCGTGAGCATTATGAAGCGTTTGTCTGATGTACGGAACATTGTGGTTATGAAGGGATAACGGTTAAATGAAATTTAAGGCCAATGACTCGATAACGACTTTGCGCGCGCCCTAGCACCACCGGGGGAAGTTAGGAAAAAGGGGAGGGGCCGGAGATGGTCAGCTCTGGTAAATTACGAGGTATAAGTGGACGAATGGCAGGGTTGTAAGGGGATGGATAAATGAACGAATGATTGATACATATATCTGGTGGGAGATGACCCTCAAGCTAGGAAGGGCGCTGTTGTTTGAGAGTGGGATCTTGGGTTATGTAGAGTTGAGTTCTTATTTCAGTGTGATCAATGGGTTATTATTTATCACTCATCCCATCCCTCAACCCTAGCCTATGTGTTTCCGATGATTGATCGCCCCGAGGTAGAGTCTGAGTCGGAACGGGTTCGCGAGGGGCTGGACACAGAGGAGGGCTTCTAGGAGCGCACCGATGGAGCTCACCTCCCTATCGAAAGACACTGCCCGGTTAGCCCCGCAACGCCGCGAAACCCCGCTACATGTACATTCACTCAACTTCACTCAACTTCATATACGATTATTATTTAAGATGCTTGGGTTTAATTCCGAATAAGCGGCACTTGTGAGTGATGAGAAGTCATTAAATCTAGGTACTGATTATGTAAGGACATATTTGTGTCATGAGGTTATCGGTGGAGCCAACAAATAACTTAATGAAAATGCTTTTAAAAAATAACAGCATTTTCATTAAGTTATTTGTTGGCTCTGCTGATAACCTCACAATCATCAAATCGACTGATGTAAGCCTTCAAGGGAAATCCGTTGCTGTTAACACTTAAAATATTTAGCATTCGTCCTTTCAGTTCATGTCAGAAGTTTGAGCATGCCGGAAACATGTCTTACGTAACTTGTTTTGCATTTTAAAAGCGGGATAATCAGTTACGGTTCACCTCCTTTAATCTCGCTTTATAACCTGAACCATAGACCATCTATAGTGGTCTATGCTTGATCCTTGAAACAAGCATGGTTCACACGGTACATGTTATTAAATTATGTGCAGGAGCGTCGCTACAAGTCTCTGTTCTAGAACCGTTTGCGAAATATGGTGACGTGGTAGGTTCGGTCGGTAATGACCAGGGCGTAATGACCAAGGCCGACCAGATTGTATCTGTCCGACATCCTTGTATCAGCCAATCTATTCTACACGAAGGTTACATCGTGTCGGACAGAATCTTCCTGGACTCTCGTCATTTGTTAATGACTCCATAATATACGTATGCACTCCCAACTAGGCACCAGGTAAAGCTCCAACGTCTCCGTGGCTGGAGCAGTGACCACTATAGACCGCAGATATATAGTGGTCTATGGCTGGAGTAATCCCAATTCCCAATCACGGACCCACCTGCCCTCACAGAATCTCTCTCTCTCTCTCTCTCTCTCTCTCTCTCTCTCTCTCTCTCTCTCTCTCTCTCTCTCCTCTCTCTCTCTCTCTCTCTCTCTCTCTCTCTCTCTCTCTCTCTCTCTCTCTCTCTCTCTCTCTCTCTCTCTCCTCTCTCCCTCGCTCCTCTCTCCTCTCTCCTCTCTCCCTCTTTCTCTCCTCCCTCCTCCCTCTCTCTCTCTCTCTCTCTCTCTTCTCTCTCTCTCTCTCTCTCTCTCTCTCTCTCTCTCTCTCTCTCTCTCTCTCTCTCTCCCGCACGCATATGCACTCACCGAGTAGGCCTTGCACCAGACGGACACCCACTGGACCTTGTCCATGGTGACGCCGTTCGGAAGCGTCAGCGTGATGTCCTTGTTGCGGTAAGCCTTCAGAGGCTCAGTTCTGAAAAAGGAACATCACAGTTGAGCTCGCCTCAGCTGGCAGAACACTCGGTGGCTGAGCCGGATGGTATTAGGAGCCAGTCTCAAGCCGTTTGACGCTCAGTTGTATGCTTATTACGTAAACATTAAACAATCTGTGGCCAATGCTGGTTTTATCAAGGCCCTCCAATTGTGGCACAGAGATGTATCTCCTCATCACCTAGTTGGCCGCTCATAATCAACAAAGCAGCCAATCTGAGCGGTGGTTCGAAGGCAGGCCACGAGCCTGATGACTGGCCATTGTTGGGCCCGGAACGGGAAGCGTTTGCACGTTGATAAGAAGCAGAACGTATGGCCCAAGGATAGAGAGATTAATAACGATGATCAGATTAGACAGCACTGCAGAGCCTATTTATCGGACATAGTCTATGCACGGTCAAATATTAGACGGTAGACAGGTAGACAAGTTTAGTAAGTGTTGCGAAATAGCTTCGCAAATGATGCTGGGAATTTTTATTGTTTAGTATTGGCGACGGGAAGTGTGGCTATTGATTAACTTGGTGACCTTCCCATTTAAAAAGCAACCGTTGGGCAGTGATTCAGTTACTTAAGCTTCCAATAACTTGAACTACAGTGTGATCTTTGTGACAAGCACGAAGCTGGGGCCGAGGATGCCTGGCTAGTGGCTGTATAAGGCCGACCCCGGAGGCCCCGGTCGCGACGCAGTATGACTGACCTGCCATTCTCGTCCGGCACCTTGTACCCGGAGTTGGACGGCCGGTTTCCCGATCCCACGTAGAAAAACGCGTCTGAAACGTCGACAGACAGTGTGTCAGAGAGAGCTGGTGGGGACCGGAACACGCGCGACGGCGGGACAGCGGGAGCGGCCCGATCGTAGCAGTATAAACAGCAATCGGGTCACTGTTCTTCGAGCATGAACAGCATTCACAAACACAAACACCTGGGCATGAACAGTGTTCGTTTCAAGCCTTCCATAGCCAGTGTATGTCGAGTTCAGCCATTGAGTGGGTCCACGAGGCTTTAGACAGAATCTCGCTGTGAATATGTAGATACGGAGACGCTCACAGACGAGATCGAGTCACGACTATGATGTTCTGGACGGCTGGCTCTCGTGATATTTTACTTAGTCAATGATGAAACACGAGATTCCCCGTTTCCCAGTTAAATACCGAGACGATCTGATGACAAATGTGTGTATGATGAAACAGGATGAAATTGTACAATACATTTTATTAAAATTTGGGGCTAGGATAGTGTCAAATGACTCAATAGATGGTGTGCCCTGAAATTACCATGATCATCTTTATCATACTGTTATCATACCGCATTGTCATCTTTCATTCGTGTCGGGATGAGCAGAGGCGGATCCAGCTCAGAGTTTTTTTTTTTTTGGGGGGGGGGGGCAAACCATAACAATTTATCGATTCTTTCCATGCATCGTCCACAGGCGTAATATTAAAATTATGCCTTTTGGGGGGGGCAAATGCCCATTTTGCCCCCCCCTGGATCCGCCACTGGGGATAAGTAAACGTCTTACCTTTGTCTAACGTTCGTACGCTATAAATGAGAAGCGAAATTATCCGTTATTGAGACGACCCAAGCCTTATCTATTTACCTATTCATGGACGCGGCAACAAATACCTTTCATGTTACTTCAGATTTTCAAGATTCTATCACACTACTTCTGTGTTTGGTCACTTAATAGACTATATGTCCATTTTTTCCGTATTTAGCTCTCGTCGCGTTCACGAAATACCTTTCCGTTCTTAGGAGCATACAAGACCAGTGCATCCTATTTTAATCACACTTCCTTGTTGCGTGGAAGCGGCTGGGCAAACGGTAAGGACAGCTGCAAAAGGGTCACAATCCTCCGCGGTGACCGTTTGAGCGGCCGTGGTGGGGTGGCAGTAGTAACCTGTCCCACGGCCAGGCTGCCTGTTCAATGGCGCAGACTGAGCTGCTACGGTGAACCAGTCGGTGGCCGACCCGGTCTAATGCCCACTCTTCCTTATACTCTCATCCAACTCTTCCTTAAGCTCACATTCCACAATATGGACGTGGCCTATAATAATCGCAAGGGCCTGGTTCAACCAAACAAACAGCATGACAATGAAGCTCCTACAATTTGAGCATCAGGATGCGTACATTAACTGGATCAGTTCAAGATATAGCTTATTTTCCTTCTTGTGATAAGCTCTTGACATTTTCCTTCTTGAAGATAAACTACTAAAATTCGAAGACTACGTACATGAACTGAATTAGGGCAAGTTACAGCTTATTTTCCTTCTTATTCAAGCATAGGTACCTGTTACCTAACCTAAAGCTAAAAAGCAATTCCTCAAAAGATTGAAGAACCCAGTCTACATATCAAAGCATACCTATCAAGAAAAATACTCGGCTCAGAAGTCAGATCGAGATGCAGGAAGAGAAGAAACAACACATTGATCCGTAACTGTGCCAGACAGAAAGTGAGGAGATACGAATAGTGAGTAGGAATTAACAATTTTTTGACAAACTAAAGTATATCATCATTAATTTAAATATCTAATCAGAAGCCATGAAGTGCCCCTTATTTGTGTCATACGTGAGACGTGAGAATAGGCTAAAGACCCATACCGATTCTATAATGCAGTGGCTGCCGAAAATCTATGATGGTTACTGGTGCTTAAATCCTCTTAAAAAATCCCCTTTTAATTTGAAAAATAAATCCATATAACGATGAACACTCGTTTTTATGTGTTTTAGTGTGCATTTAGTTCCTGAAAATACGTATTTTGAAATTGATCGTTGTCTATATAATAAGCATCATTTTAATGAACCTGAGTTAATATGTGGAGGATGTTTTAATCTTAAAAATATCATAACGTAAAATATTGCATACTTATATCATAAAAACATTGAATTTGTCTTAGATGAATTAAACTGTCTGAGAAGCTCGTCAAAGTACGCCACAAATTCTGGCGTGAAATAGGTGCCGACGATGCCGCAATCAGCTGATTATTGTTTGTGTTTTGAGATGTGCACAGCTGCTCACGGCTGAAATCATTCTACGGCACATCCAAAACTGGCGGTTACCAAAACCGTAAAGAGCGTGCCGTGTTTTCGATTTCACAGAGCTTTATAAGATTGCGTACTATATATCCAGCCTTAGAGTGCTGCCATATCCATTTCACGGCGTTTATAAGATTGGGCCATGGTCAGGCCAGAATAATGATTCGACGTGTCAGCGCACACTGTGCATTTTTAGACTTGCTGCGATAAGAAGCGTGCCACCATTTAAAGGTAGTGTGCCACCTTTGAAAGATTTCCCATTTTATTTTTCCTAGGATAAGAAGCTTCTGTTTTTACCTAATATCGCAAAAAAAATCAAAAATGGGCCTGGAATAGTGCCTTTTTCGCCTAAAAGTTTATCGGTTTTTAGATATGTATAACAACTGTAGTGGGCTCACCTGCAAACAGGCGTCGGGCAACAATCGCGAATGCGGCGCACTTGTGACAATAAGCAAAGGTCATTATAGTGTTACGACCATACGACGTACGGGAATGAGTTATCAGCTGTCTAATCGTAGACAACACTATGTCGAGCCTTAAACTGTAAGCCCGTATTGGTACTGTTTCTTTTATTTGGCTGTCGAACATTATTTATGGTTTGAAATATGATTTTATGTAAAATAATTGATATTAAAAAGCCGTCTTATAAGTTATGACCCCATTTCACCACACGCAAGTGGCAGAAATGACAATGATCAGCTGACGCATTTTTATTGGCCGAAGTCAGAGCGCGCGGCCCGACGCACCACGCGTATTTGGAAATTCCGACCTCGACGAGCATCAGAAGCCACCTAGCAGGCGTGTTCGAAACCGCAGGAGATGATGATGAACAGGTTTATCGAAACTTGATTGGATGAGCCTATCGGTAATAGCGATTTTAGTGTGTGCATTTATTGTTCATAGTGGTGTGAAATGTGGTTGGGGTACGACCGACAACCCGTCGGGGCGAATTTCGCACTGGGGTACTCAAAATTTGAAGAATTTAAGACGTTTCCATAAGTTTTGAAGGTATGGATAAGTTCTAAAAATCCGGTTCTCTTTATCCGGGTCATTAACTCCATATGGTCCAAGAAAGCTGGCACACTACCTTTAAAATGACATTTGTCCTATTGACTACGGTGGGTTTCTAGGCCACGCAAGGGCCAGGTTAAGGCAATTGACCTTAGATGACCTCGACTGGGAGGCGATGTCGAACTGTTGGAGAGCCAGAGGATGCAGCGAGACAGAGCAGCTGCACAAAAGGTCGCCACAACCCACGACTGGCTGCGAACACGCTTCAGGGACCGACTGCTGACTGCTTTCTCGGCTGGAGGTGAATCCATAGCGCGCACATTATCCGGACCTAACGCCACTAGATTTCTTAATTTGGGGACATCTCAAGGTTCAAGTGTACCGAGTGAACAGGAGAACCATCAGTACGCCGTTCGGGGCATGCGACCGGATATGCACCGTGCGGCGGTGGCATCAATTGAGGCAACGCTGCCTCGGGTCTTTGAGTTCACGACGCGTTTTGACAGCCTGCGCGAACTGTGCTGTACGAACGGCTCCGGGCATTCAACACGGGCATAAGAGTGCCATACTACAAGATAGCATGGAGTATTCTACCGTTTGGTGCTTCTTGCTTTTCTGGGGTTTATACTTTATAGTTTTCAAAATAGATTAACTTTTATGTCTATTTTTTTCGGAAACTCCCGGTAGTTGAAACTTCGGATGTAGTGTTGTTGGGGCGATGTCGTGAGTATTGGGGCCGTGCTATAAATAGTGACTTACCGGTACCCTGTCCGTCGTAGTTGAAGTTGCGGATGTAGGGCGTTGGGGTTGTGTTATAAAGAGTGACTTACCGGGACCCTGGCCGTCATAGTTGAAGTTGCGGATGTAGAGGGTGCGTGAGTCGACCGCGTACACGGTGCCTCGAACGCCGTGTTCCAGGGTCTTGAAAGAGCCCAGCTCTTTGCCATAGTACTTCTGTGAAGAGGCCAGCCCTGCGAATACAGAATAACACGTTAGTGATTGTTTACGTTTCCTCGATTACTGTGAAGATTGTAGAATCACCGCACAGACATGAAGTTAGTGTGTGGTGACTCAAAACGTAAACTCGGTCACCTAGTCTGCTTTTCCTATGAAAAAGCTGAGAATGTAGAGAAAACAGGGAATCTCATTGACAATGGTTGCTACTTGATTGCGTAACTCAAGTAATGTATGTGGACGCGGTGGCTGATGGCCCGCCTGGAGCGCCGGGGAGGTAACCCACAGCTCTCCCCGGCTGGGGAGGTATCCCCCAGATCTCCCCGGGGCCGGGGCGTTTTCTTTAGTCCATGATGGGACACCGCCCCGGCCTGGCCAGGCGGGCCACACCACGTCGCGTGGTGGTGGCGGCGAGCTATATCTTTATAGCTCGGCCGCCGCCCAGTCAAAATGCAGCTGAAATGTGGCGTCCGTTTTCTGTATGTATGTATATAGCCAACAATGTATGTATATGCCAGCGTGTACGCTTGCCAAATATTACTCGCACGTTGTGGGGGTTTTGAAAGCCCTATTGTGTCGGTGCATATCAGGCGTTTGCGGGTTTAAACGTCTCAACCTGGGGCGCTCGTTAGCATAGACGGAAAACCGGCGTCAGAAACCATGACAGAGACTGTCCTTGTTGGGCTTGAGAGCCCTCGATTATTATAGATGTACTTGTGTCATATTTGTATGATTTGTCAATAAATGTGGAAAAAATGTATGTGGACGCTAGCAAGTGATTGCGCAAACCCCAAAGGTGTCATATATCAGGGAGAGGGGTCAAGGTCAAGGTCAAATGTTTGAGTTTTAAGATTGCGTACAAAAATAACGGGTGGATCCAGAAAGGCGGGTCGGACGCTGCGGGGGACATACCCCCGAAAGTTTCCCCAAATTTAAACAACTCCTTGGCTTTCGATTCCTTATGCGCTGTTGTGCGGTTTAAATGAAACGTTTTTTTTTTCCTTCAAAAAATTGTTCAGTTTTCTTCCTATCCTAAAAAAAAACGACAAATTTGCACCGATTTTGGGCACTATGAGGAGGCATTTGCCCCGAATCCCCCCTCCCCTTTGGACCTCCCGTGATCCATTGTCGATCAGCTCTTATTAAATTTGATTTGTCACCTCTTGGACATGAAAATGCTCCAACATCGAATTTCACCTTAGAAATCCTTGACTAAACGTAAACATGAATATATTTGGAAAATAACGTGTGCCTTTTTAAAACCGATAAGAAAATGTCACCGATATAACACAATCCCATGACGTCGACGCTGCAATCATAGGTGTATTTCACAGGCCCGGAAGTAGGCGCCTCTTGAACAGAAACGGTACACTGCTGACCTTATCGCTCTGTTTCACCAGATTTCGTAACTTGACTTTCGTTCTGTCCACCATAGGCGGCGGAACGGGGAGGGCACCGGGGCACCGTGCCCCCCTTTGATTTTGGCATTTTAACGTTAGCCCTATGGGCGTTGCATGGTAAGAATGGGACCAAAAGTTGGCAGTGCCCCCCCCCCTTAATTGAAGGTGTTCCGCCGCTACTGCTGTCCACCCGCCACCGTTACTGCACTCCGCATCGATTGACAAAAGTGTCAGCTCTTGTCAGCTAGAATCCCGTGCGTCAGGGTTAACACTCTCTCGTAGAGAAAACAATTTCCAAGTAAGCGGACACACTGCTTGGAAGCCCCTTGCCATGAAGTTAAGGAGCACATTGTTTGCGAATGCACACAATGCTGCAATGTCAGGAAGTGAAACTTTAGAGCAAGCAGTGGAGCACTACTTGACAAAAATGCCAGTCAGCATTGCCCTGTGTTATTCACTGAGAGGATCTCCCCATGTTACGAGGGGTGAACGTTTGTTTCGGAATTCCAAAGTTGCCTCACAACAGAGACTTCGTCATTTGACACGGTTACGTCGGATCCTGACGTCATGACCGGGCCCTCCTGCGTCACGCATGACGTCACACGGAGGGAAGGTAACGGCCACCGGCGCACTGTGGGGCCGGTCGGCGCACTGTGGGGCCGGTCGGCGCACTGTGGGGCCGGTCACGGCCTGGCGCGGTGTTGACTGACCGGAGCGGCCGCCGGGCGGGGTGGGCCGACCAGTGTCGCTCACCCGCCCCCACCGGCGCACCCGCCCGACGGTAGAAAGTGACCGTCTCTGGCCTGTCAGCGCCACACTCAGCCGCCTCCTTCACTTTCCTGAAGGCAGGTTACACAAGCAACGGCTGATTACACTGGCGGTGCTGGGGATGGAGCAGTGATGTTGTCAAATTGCAGGGTTCAATAAGAAGTTGGACTTAGGTGTGCACTGTGCTGTGCACAACGATTTGTGCAAGAGAAAAACGGACTTGGTGTCTCTGTGTGTCGATAATTCAAATCCAGCACATCATAGCACCTGGCAAAATAGATTTAGAGATGACGGTATGTAGGCAAGTGATTTGCTGCCCATAAGTAGCGGTATTGTGAGAAAACACTTTGTTTATGCATCCTTTTCCTTTTGGTAAAATGTTTTATTCGGATGGAAGACCTGGGCCTAATGTCATCTATCTATTTTATTGACCACAAGAAAAATACAGGTGCAAAAATGCCGGATATGAATGCATCAACGAACTGTCGAAAAAAAAAGAGCTTAACCCTGTTCCGTAGAACAATGGAAAGCCCTTTGCATCACAACTTGAACAATGCCAGCCGACGCAAGTGTCCGTTCTCATTTCCGGAACCGGTGTCCGTTTCCGATTTCCCTCTTCCGCTCCTTCTCTGTTCGACTTGACAGACATAGATAAGTCATTTATTTCATGATCTTTCTTGTAGTTTATGTAAAGAATAGTGTTTTAACTAGCAAGAAGTAATAAAACCAAATATTTTGTGCCGTTTGATCTCAAAGTTCGCTGGATTTAAATGCTTTGTTTCATTAATAACCTGTTGCAACCACGACGATGATATTGGATTGGGTTGGACAGGGAAGGATTCGGTATAATGGGTGGAGGGTAGAAGACTGACGAATGTGGCAATTATTTCAACATGCCCATGGACCCAAAATAACATAAATTGATGGCCTTGGTCAGCCTTGACTTCCAACGTGATCTGAATAATCCAGAGACCAAATATGTCAGAAGTAGACCACTAGTGACGTAAGCAGTCGGACTGAATTAGTTATCAGTCACGTGTTACGTGGAATAGGACATCAGAACAAGGTCACACCAAGGTCACTGATCTCATAACTTAGATGATGGATAAGCAGTTATGTCACTTGACAGGGAAGCCGAGTAGGTTCCTTTGGAAGTGCTTTGTTTCGTCCAAATATATGACAGAACTGAAGGGTCTCCCGGTTTGTGGATAGTAGGTATCCCGTATCGAGCTTAACAGGTTTATAGGGCTGTTGCATGCAAATCTTTTGTTACCTCTCACTTCAATGAAAACAGCAGCTCGTTTGACGGGTTTGTCATTCTGGCCACGAATTAGAGTGGGCACTGGGCAAGTATCTAGCATCTTCGCAGCATACAGACCATGTTGTGTTCCCCATATCTGCTCTGAGAGCATAGCAGTATTAAACTGTGAACGCTGCAGCCGACTGACGGTTCCCACCGGGTGTGTACTGTGTGTAGGCATCACAGCACACTGTCCCGGCACATACCGGCTCAACAGTTGGATTCTGGGCAACGATAAAAATGATTGGCAGTCTTGCTCATGCTGCACCTGCGGAATGCGGATGGATGGGTACTGGCAGCTGGAGGGGTTATGATAGGGGCAGCGCCCCACTTCATGCTCCGATTCTTACATTAGTTCCGGCCGACACACCCGGATGTGTGTGGCCGTTTTGCAGCACGCAGACACCGTCTCGGCATGCATCGGCTGTTTGTGGCTGTCCTGCAGCACTTAGTCCCTACAAACGATGGCTGTGTGTGTCTGGGCACACAGTCTGAACGGCCTCTACCGGCTGAGTGTGGCCGTCCTGGCACACCGCCTCGACACACGCCGGTCGTGTGTGTCTGGGCACACAGTCTGGGCTCACGCCGGCTGATAGACGGCCTATACCGGCTATGTGTGGCTGTCCTGACACACAGTCCCGACGCACACTGCCTGGCTGTGTCCCGTGCCCGGCACACGCCGGCAGGCTGTGTCAAGATACACCGGGTGACTGTGTCCAGGCACACCAGCCCACCGTCCCGACACACACGTACCGGCTGGCCGTCCGACCGTGCCGCGCCGTTAGCTGAGGCCGCACGACCGGCAGATGGAACGGACGGGTCCACGGCGGCCACTGCCGGTCCACCGGCCACTGGCAGCCGGCAGCCTGGTGTGGTACTCCAAGTCTCCAGCCAGCTCTGAGCTACCATCGCCGGGCAGCGGGCAGCCGCCGGACGGCGTACGGTCTCCTCAGACCGGGTGGTGCGGGGCGGCGGCGTGACGGGCCGGCCGGCGAACGGTCACGGGTCGCCGACTGCACCGGTCGGCCCGTGTCCGAGAGGCCGCCGTGCGGACCACGCTCGGCGGCGTCCGGCGGCGTCCGGCGGCCACTCCGCATCTGACCCAGAGACCGAGTGGCGGCACAACAGACTGCTCAGTCAGCTGGCCAGAGCGGCGAGCGTCCGGCGGAGCACTGCGCCGTGTAACGACACCGGGTATTATGATGGAGGTGTGCCAGAACCCGTTCTAATAAAACAAAATGATGACAAAGTGATGAGGTTCAAGATAAAGTTGGTCGTGTTTTACGTGACTTGCGCATTTCCAGTCTAATGGCAGATAAAATCAGGGTGACAATTATGTCATGTGTCTTCTATGTGGAGAGAGAGAGAGAAAGAGAGAGAGAGAGAGAGAGAGAGAGAGAGAGAGAGAGAGAGAGAGAGAGAGAGAGAGAGAGAGAGAGAGAGAGAAGAGAAAGAAAGGGAGATAAAGAGACGGCACTATTTGCAGAATTGCTGACTGTGCTGTCGCACTCTCCGCTGTCCAATGCCCATGGCCAGTGGAACTAAAGAG